CCTTCGACGTCATCCATCTAAAGCTGTACGGCACGCTGGCATTCGCCTTGTGGAGGTCCGTGTACATCACCAAGCAGGTAAGGGCGGGTTTGCACGTGCATGTGTACGTCAGTGTGTCGGTACGGCAACGTATGGTGTTTTTTTACCATATTGCTCACTACATTTACAGCACCTCATGTGACTCTTCCTTCCTATTCCCTTCTCTCCCCTCCGAGTGGCTGTTGGCGTTCTGATGTCCTCGCCAGAGAGCACATCCTCATTTCATGACCCTCTGCGAATATTTTTTCCCTAATCGTACATTTACGTAATCGTACATTCACCCTATTTCCCTCCCCACCCTTCCCACCTGCTTCGTCTCTCGGGCTTCCCCGCACTCCGTACACACACTCGCCATACCCCGTTGCCTCCCCTCCTCCTCCACCCCGCCTTCTCCCCTCTTATCACCACACACATACACATGCATACACACACACATACGCACACTGGGCTCTCCATTCCGCCGTCGCAGTGTTGTGATTTGACCTCTAGTACGTAGGCACGTATGTATGTATGCGTGTTACATGGTTGGGGGTGCGTGACCCCATACCTGTAAAACTACCCATACGAGCCGAAGGCCCAAGGGCAACATCTACACGCCTAAAAGCCACAGAGGAAAGGAAACACCGCACTATCAGCTCAGATGTAAGTGTGCTCTTCCTTCCTTCCTTCCCTCTCGCTCCCTCCCCCCCGTCGGGGCCCATCTCCAGGTATCCTTCCGCAACCGCGTGTTGATCCTGTTCGACTGGATGAAGGCCCGGGTGTTTGGGAGGGACATATCGCTGTTCTGAGTATTGATCGGACAGCTGGGGCAATGATAAGAAGAGCTGCTTGCAAAGCTATCCTTGATGTTTTCCAGGACGAAGTGAGGGCACAGCGCAGAGAGCGACGCAATCGCGCTGCCTGGCGCGAGCGCCATGAACTAACAGCTGACGAAATGACGAGTACTACTGCACGGATCTAGAGCTTTGGTGTTGAGGCCGACATGACGGTGGTCCTTTCTTTGTTTTTTTGTTTCAACCCTGCTGGTGGTTTTCATAACGAAAATATCCGGTGCACAAATGGTGTGAGGATCTGTTGGGAATTGTCTTCTTATGCATTCTTACTTACTGAGAGCTCTGTTTATTTTGTGGTGGTCGGAACTGGTAGGTGCTGCTGGCATTGAGCAGCATATATTGAGGAAACAGGCAAACCAAGAGAAGGGCGCCGTGGAGCTCAGTTCAGTAGGCATCTTATTATTTCTTTTGGCGAGAGATTTGAATATTTAAACACGGACTGCTGAGAAGCGGCGATGTACATTGCGGTGCGGCGAGGCGATGGTATATGAGGTTGCACTGGGGTGCACGTCCTCACAGAGGCGCAGGCCCATAAATCCCCACATGGCATATCATTTCTCTTAACGAATCCGCATTGAATTTTCTTTTGGGGCAACCCTGATTTGGATTTGTATTAATATAAACAACGCGGTCGCTTTGGTGGAGACCGGCGCCGCAGTGGAGAGGCGCGGAGACGGTGGTGCACAGCGAAAAGTTAAGCGGCAGGGACATTACCTGATGCTGGTGGCTAGCGTCTTGATTGTATTTCCGCAATACTGCTGCAACCAGTTTCAACCAGTGGTGGCATCGCCGCAGTTTTATCGCGAGGGTTTACGGCAAAAAGGCATAGGTTTTAGGTGTAGTTTCCACAGAAATAATTCTGGCCCCTCTGATTTTTGCCGCAGATTCAAGCCGTACTCGCGGAATATCTGCTGCGATGTTGGATCTGCGTCGAGGAACAATTCCCCCGCCATCCATCTTTGCATTGCTTACGAAGCTGTTGTCAGTGTTCTATGCGCATGGACGCCGTCAGGGAGTGTATCTTTACCGGATACCGTAATTCGAAGTAAAAAGCAGTTAATTGATCGGTGTTCATTTTTCAGCCGCATTTAACAGGTTCCTTTAAGAACTTGTTTGTGTGGTAAATCTTGTGTTCGCGCAATCTGCGGCGCTATCTATCAAATGTTCTTGTGAGTTCTGTTATTATGTTTTGTCGTATGGTGGCGTCGGTATTATCATAGATGGAGAGCAGGACGCACGAGGCGCTATAAAGTGCTTGAATTCCCGTCTTGAAACGTTGCGCTATCTGTGGCGTACGGCCACGATAAAAGACAGGGATATTGATGAGGTTTTAGTGATTAGGGTTTTTGCATGTTGCGAGAAAACCCAGGTATGTAACTATCGCTGGTCGCTTTTAATCGCCCATACCTCGGAGTTACAAAATTACCAAATAATCTGAAATTGTTTTTCAGATTGTGTTCTATAGCAGCGCCCTGATAAAAGATGCCTTGGCGCATTAGATTTTTCTTCGATATCTTTTAAGTTAAGGGTTCAAACTTACAGAGGCAGATTGTGCGCAGCGCCTTAACAGGTTTTGGAATAGCCAGAGCCAAATGCAGCTAAAGCAGATAAGGGAGCTAGGTACATGGCGAACTTAAACGGTACGGCACGAGTATGGAATACATATTGAATTACATCGCAGAGCAGGCTTTAGGTAGCCAAGTTGCCTCAGGAGACCTCTGCACGATTTTCAGGTCGCAGATCAGATACGCAACACTCCACAACCGCCTTGCCATGTTGCTTGCGCCAAAATAAAGGTCGCGACAACAATCAACACCACAGCAACTACTACAAATAGTGAGAGTACTCTTTCATTCACATTGCGGAATATATTTAAAAACAATACTCCTAGAAAAACATGCCCTGTGTACGTCGTCCAACATAAAATTTCCTTTCCACATCATCCCTCGCGATCACTGGTCAAGGTGCCGACCGTCAACACAACCAATTAATACCAACAAAATAAATATATATAGTGTACGCATTTGTGCAGCCACCGCAAAAAAAAACACAGAAAGCAAAGCTGCCCTCCCAGCCCACACACACTCGGTATGTAAGAGAGCACTTCAATGCACAAAATGCCAAAACGCATCTAGAGGGGGTTCTTTCCTTCTCGCTAAGGCACAATAGCGTACATTTACGTGTCTCTGTGTGCGTGTGCATACTTGCGCTCTTACTACTTCGATCGATGCAACCACACACGGTGACACGCAACTTTGGTGGTCAGGTTGTAAATTCAACATCACACGCCACCCCATTCCACGTATCCGCCCTTGGAAAGCAAAAGAATTATTATTTAAATTATTGTTTTAGGTGCCTTAGGTTACCTTGTGGACTTTTTGGTAGGGAAATCCCCTAGGGCAATAAAGACACAGCTCGCCTGTCCGGAGCGTTATCCCATCCGCACGCGGCGCAACACACGCACACACATACACACACACGTGTAACGGAGCACGAAACAAAAGACTGCAGCCGGAAGCGGCCGGCAGAGGCAAATGAAACTTGATATGAGACTTTTAGCTATTATATTTGAGACCTCTGAGCTGAGACTTAGCCGCACAGCGAGGACAAATACACAAAGAAGGGCATCCGACTACGGGTAAAACTTTACTAAGGTAATAATTTATTCATCAGGCCTTCTTTGCTCGCTCATAGACACACACAGATGTACGAAGTTGCTCCTCGTGAGGAGAGGTAACTAACGACAAAGGCAATTTAGGGCATTGGCAACGTTCCCCGCTTGCTGCACTCATCGCGCTCTCTGCAAAACCCCCCCGCCGCACACTTCACCGGGCTTAACTCTTCCTTCCCTCTCCCCCCCCACCGCTGGGGCCTCAGAGGACCCGCACATTGCATAACACACACACCACTAACTGGTCCACTGCTACATCACAAAACAATACTCAGAACAGCGATATGTCCCTCCCAAACACCCGGGCCTTCATCCAGTCGAACAGGATCAACACGCGGTTGCGGAAGGATACCTGGAGATGGGCCCCGAGGGGGGGAGGGAGCGAGAGGGAAGGAAGGAAGGAAGGAAGAGCACACTTACATCTTTATTAGTGTACTAACAAACAAGTCCAGCCGCATTCATGGCAGGCAAGCGGGAAGGGGGGGAGGGAGGGTGGGGAGGGCGGGAGCCTGGGGCCCGGACTAGTGGACTAGTGGACAGCTGCGCCATATCAAGACAATCATCAGTCGACCCAAGGTGGAAAAGAACCCACGTAAACCCCCATGTGGAAGTGGTGGCCAGGTGCCAGGAGTGGTGGTTTTCCAACTTCATCTGTATTCGTCGTACGACATTTTTCCGCCAACTGGTCCATCGGTCAGCTGTCGTTTGGACTGTTGGCTGTTGAGCCATCTCGTACGGGCTCGTACGGGCTCGTCACAAATCCCTAACCTGAGTGCTTCCGCACTCGCCTTACCTGCTTGGTGATGTATACGGACTTCCAAAGCAAAAACGCGACGCTGCCGTACAGTTTCAGGTTGATGACATCAAATGCTTCAACCTGGGTTAGCGCCTTATCGCTACCTGCACGTACGACGATGCAGTAAATACGACACACGATAAATATGGCGGGATAAAGTTTAAGGAAGTACAGAAATGTACAGCAGTAGTGATGCTGTGCTGACAACGGCTGGCGGGGATAGCATTACTTGAGCTATGCAATACAGGCCTGCTGGTATTCGGCATGCGGTCGTGCAAGCGGGTCGGAGGTACACTTGCACCCCTCCTCCACGGCCCCGGGGCCCCACTCCACCGCAACCCACCCACCACACGGCGCCCCACAGCGCTCCAAGCGACCACCCGACCCATTTCCCTCCCCTAAGTGCCCTCCTCCCCACTGCCACCGAAATGCCCTAACCTCTCTCTCCACCACTAACTCCATTCCCAATCCTCCTCCCCCCCCCCTCATTTTTGTGTCTCTCCTCCCCTCCCCTCCCCTCCCCCACGCAAGGAAAGCACCCTGCCACTCACCCACGTATGCCATGATCCCCAGGCTGAGGAACTCGAAGGGCCGGTCCCAGTACCGCACCTCCGTCGCCTCCGCCGCCTCCCTCGCCGCCCGCTCCTCCGCAGCAAACGACCGGGCGCACTCCTGAGCCGCTCGGGCCAGGGCCTCGGGACTCGCACCGCCCGAGGCAGCAGCCGCCTCCCGTACACTGGCGATGTCGCACACAGCGGCTGCGCGGCTGGGCTGGTCCAGGGGGGGCGCGGCGGTAAGGGCCTCGCTGTGGACACGAATCCAGGGGGGCGCGTCCATGCGGAACAGCGCGTCGGATACCTGGCGTGGGTGTATTCAAGGGGGTGGGTGGGAGGGGGAAAGGGGAGGGAGATAGGAGGGGGATGATATTGGATAGATCGGGAAAGGAGGCGGTCAGGA